GTACAAACATAATGGGTATAGAGTTAAAAGGTGCAACCGTTGGAATTAATTGATCAGAAGACGTAATGTCATTAAAGGGTACAGGAGTACTACTAGTCGAAGCCTCCATAGGATGGATCATGGTATCATGGGAACTCGGGCTGTTAAAAACGGCACCAGGAAGTTGTAGTCATTCGCGTCAGGCTCACAAAGAGCTTTGGTGTATTTAAGATGTTTCACCGGTTTGTTGATAAATTGCGATTTTAAAAAAAAGAAACTGGTATTTCTTTGCCATGGCGAGTTGATCCTCGAATTTGAGGGGAGGTTTTGATTTGTTTTTATTAAAGATGCGTCTACACGTGCGCTGAAATCGCTTTTCTTGTTTTTTCCGTGTTTTAAAGTTTGTGTTAAGGGCGAGCTGAAAATTAGATAGCCTCTTTCTGTACATATACCTATTTCCTAATTTTAGGATTAAAGTAGCGTTACGGGCGTGAAGTATTTCAGTGTACGAAATGCCCAACCTATGGGAAAAATTTTTTTTTAGAACGACCAGATAGCCAGCGATAATATAAAAGGTTAGCGTGTGAGGCTTTATCGTTAATAAAAGCTTGGTAGTGTCTTTGATTGTCTTCTTGTTTTTTAGTTTTTATGTTCCTGAAAGTTTCAAACTTGAACAATTGTTTTTGATGAATGACGCAAGCGCGTCACGCATTCGACATGATGAAAGGGTTTGGAACGTTGCAACATTGCATTTTCGGTATAAGTTCTGATTTGTGAACAAGGGATATAGATAGCGAAATAAAAATGATATGTTTGTAGGTGAAGTTGAAAAAAGTTCTCGTGATAGTATTAGGTGTGACTTTACTATCACCACGTGATGATATATACGTATGCGATCCAATAGTCTTTCTCTAATCATATTAAAATATTTTTGTCGAATTCGACTAGGTATAACTCTTTGTAAGGAAAAAAAATGTGTAAGCATAGTGCTTATTTAGTATTTGTAGTTAGGAACTGAACTCGTGTAGTTATATCGGATTGGGGTAGATATGATAACCGTTTGTGTATATTTTCAAATGAAGTTGATAGCAAGCTGATCGGCGTATTTCATATAACCTGATCTATTTGGTTTAGTCACGTGGTATTTTTTCCAGGGATACTAGGAAAGTATTTTCTCGAGACAGACGAGTGTGTGGTGAAAATGAAGACGACATGTTAAAAGGTTTTTTTTTTAAAAAAAAAAGAAAGTATAAAATGTATATTTTTTGTTAAAATAACAAAAATATGGGGTGTATAGGAGGAGTCAGAAAGAAAAATATAACTCTTTCAATAAAAGGATATATTACATAAGGTGTGTGTATAAAAGACTTTGTCAAAGCGACTGTATAATTCTATTAAAAGTCGAAACTTTTACCATATGTATATACTAAAAGATATAGAATGAAGTGGTATCGTATAATATTCGCGAGTTGTTGTTTGGGTTAATAAGCAAGCGAAAAAAATTTATTAAAAGTCTATTTTGTAATAAAAAAAAAAATTTTTTTCCTACTGCGCCATTTTAATAATTTTTTTCTCGAGTTTTTTTCTCGTCTTTAGTGAATTACTACATTTTCAAATAAATATTAATAATTATCTGGCATACTGTGATTTTTATAATTGACGATAAATCATGTATCAGGCAATAAATCTTTATTCATAACAAGTTAACTTAAACATAATAGAGAATTCTAAAATAATTTTTAATTATTCAAAATCATTTGAAAAAAATATATCTGGGTGACATATTTTCTTAAATAAAGATGAATCTTTAAATACTAAACACCAATTAAAAATTATATACAGAACCTTCTAAACATAAAAAAAGAATTCATACCTTTTTTTGGTTTAATTAAATTGGAATACAGCAATAGAAAAAAATAAAAAAAAATAATATATTACTCAATTTAATTAGCAATACCTATATGAAGTAAATCTCTTGATCATTTTGGCAAAGTCTATCATTTTTACAGTTAAAAAAGTATTTTTTTTTAGATCATAAAATATTAAAAATTTCAGTCATTTGAAATATACAAATAATAAAAAAAATCTCAATTGTATTAATTATTATCGCTGAAATCCTTTGATTATTATTATAACCATTGAAAAAAATTCTCAAATAATTACTGATTTATTATTAATTAATAATCAAAAAATTTTAATAAATAATTGCTTCAATATAATTGTTTTTAAATAAAAAAAAAATTTTACTAAAATTAACTATCGTAGATAAATAAATAATTTAAAATAAACAGATTACTGTGTTTAGTTACCAAAAAAAGAAGTGCCGTTTTTTTAAAAAGCATATTTTCCTTTTTCTGTCATAGATACAGTATATATATGTACAACCACGCACAAAAAAAAAAAATAACAAATTTTTTTTTTTCTTCCTTTATTAGTATTGTGAAAATAAATTTACATCATCTCAATAAATTAAGTATCTATCTAAATACAAAATTAACTAACGTATCACCCAAATACACACTAGCTATTTATGATCCTCAATTTAACTTTATAATTAAGAATCTGCGCTAAATACTTACGTCGGATACTTTATTGACCACCTTACCATTTCTTTTTATTCTTCTTTTTCTTTGACTTAACACTTTTCTTTCCTTTCCCCACTTGAATGGACTTTTTACATGCTACCTCCGTAGCAATCATCATCACTGCTAACTATCCTACTAATTTCTTCCTTACTTTTTCGTCTTCTGAAATTTCTTCTTTTTTAATTTCGTGTAGACGTGATGAACAATTCCGATTCACCTGATTATACAAATTCATATCCTCTTCAGTCACTGGTAATTCCTAAAATTATTGATGACGTCAACCACTTTACCCGGAGTCACATGATCATCCACAGTCAATACACCCAGTGAGCACAATTACGTCTTCATCCAGACTCTTCGGTAATACTGTCGGCTTCGGCCTATCCATCGGTGTAACTAACGTTAACTTGCTCGACATTAGTTTTTCGTATTTCTTCGAACAAAACATACGTTTGTCTATATTTATTTACTGTACTATCGTTCAAGCCAAACTCGTTCAGATTCCAACCCATCAATTTTATTCCGCACCCTACTCTACACCCTTTTTAATCTCATTTCTTTCCCTAATGCTCTTATTTCATTCTTGCTATCATCTCCTCCACGTCTTTCTCTGTGTAGACATATTCGGAACCTCTCCTATTCGTATCACGTTCCTCCAATCTCACGCCCATTGTTGTCCCAACATCTTTCATCAAAGGCATAGCAGCTGGATCTACCTTCCTATTAGAAATGAATGTGTCGAAATTTTTTTTCTTTTGACACTCCTTCCGCGCCTTCTAGTTCTATACTTTTTGCTATTGCTACTCTCCATAAAATTCCATAATGTCTTTATCCGCTGAGTTCTTTAATTTTTCCTTAACTTCTTTATAGGTTACGAACTTATACAGTTATACTTCTCCCTAATTTCTGACAATTTTTTTGGAAGCTGGAAACCAACGGAATAAAAACCTTCTTGTTGTCAACCATCATGTTGACATTAGCTCTCTTCAACCACTCCGCATTTTCTTGTTCTTTCTTCAAATGTAATACCATTTTTACTGACATATACTTGAGTTTTAATTGAAATTCTTTTTACCAATCCTAAGCTTTTGAAAACAGTAATAATTTTATCTTGCCAGAATGTCGTACACAAGTATCTCAATCGGCGCGCTGCAAAACGATGACGTATCGTCGTATCGATTCCTGTTGATCAACCTAGATTTCTATCACACATTTTTGCTTATCCACACCTTTCCTTTTTGTTTATTTATAGTGTTGGACTTTACTCTTTTAATTTCTAATCTCGTTGATTCAACTTCTTGAGACACTTTTCTTATTTTCTCATTTTCTCTAATATAATTCGTTCCTTTCTTTCAACCTCTTTAACCTTTTTCGTTACATCATGTGACATTTCTTTATTCTGCTGCTGCGCCTCCCGCAGCCAACGTCGAAGGTCCAAAATTTCTTTCGAAAGTCTTTTCATTTCATCATCATATATCTCATAAGACGTACTAGCACAACTTAATACTATTTCTTTTATAGTTGTTTTTTTATGTACGACAGACTTTCTAATCGACTCCAAAAGCAATATCTTCCATTCCGCTAGTTGCACTATTTCCTCGAGCTCTTTCCGCACATGATATTGAGCTTTTAGAGCAAACGTGTAGCAACTCTTTATTTCCTCTGAGTTACATGCTGACTCCATTTTTCTGTTTATTATTAGATATTTTGTTAATAAATTTTTCTAAAAACGTCTTTTTTTTTTGGTAAAAATTTTGGTTGGAATGATCATCCGAACTACATTCTAATACTTAAATTTTGAAAATTTTTTTTATGTAGAAAGTTGATCATTGCTCAATTAACTGCAATGGGCGAAATTTTATGTACGCAATAAAAAAATTTTTTTTTTATTTTTTTTTATGAAATAAGCGAAATGTTATGTACAACCATGCATATTTATTTATACGTATTTCAAAATAAAAAAGCTCAATTAACTTTTCATAATAAAAAGAATTTTTTTTTTTTATGCAATTTTACGTACAGCCATGCATATTTATACATGTGTTACAAATAAAAAGGCTCAATTAACTTTTCATAATAAAAAAATTTTTTTTTTATGCAAGAGGCGAAATTGCCGTGCATGTTTGCACATGTGTTACAAAATAAAAAAAAAAGTATATAATCGCAAATGGACGAGGTAAAAAAAAATAATTTCTTGGTAATAAATTTATAAATTTATAAGCAATTACCAAATGGATGACATTTCAGTAATCGAAATTAACGATGATGCTGATATTGATAAAATCGGTGTTGATGAAATTAATGTTGATAAAATTGATAAAATAGATAAAATCGATGTTGATAAAATAGATTTTGATAATATCAATGTTGATAAAAATGATGTGGATAAAATATTTACCTTCGATGATATCGGTGATGAACCACATAATGGTAAACCTATTACTAAGATAGAAATATCACCACATGAAAACTACCTTATTACTTATAGTGAAGAAGATAGTTCAATTGCCGGTTGGAATGTTGAAGATATTGATAAGGTTCAACTTAAATTTCATCAAACTGTTAAAATTAATAAAGAAGGTGATGAATATAATATTTATGAAATCAAAAGTTTATGTGTTTCTGATGATAAGAAACTTGCTTATGTTTATCTTCATAGGGATTATTGGCGTTGTTCTGGTAAGTAATAATTATTTGATTAGTATGTAATTATTAAATTATGGTAATTGATATTTATTTTAATATTTTTTAGTAATCGATATGAATAATAAAGATGAAAAAAAAATTGCATTAAATTTAGATGTAAAATATAATTATTATTGTACCTTTAATTTAAAAGGTGAATTTATTTTATATAGTTATTTTTGCTTTCATGGTTATCTTGGAAGTCATGATATTATTTGGATTTATTCCACACAAACTAAAAATAACAAATGGGAATGTAAGAGATTTTACAGGATACCTGAAGATTATGAATTAATTAGTATATCAAAATATGATAATGTTTACCTTTTTTTAAATTATTTCATTTATGAATGGAATATTAATACTGAGAAAAGTGTTAAAATATTTGATAATAATAAGGATAAGAATAAGGTAATAAATATAATAAAATTATTTTCAACCCAATCGATGTTAAATTATAATTAAATATATTAAATACTATTTATTTTTTAGTTTGAGACAGAAAATATCGGAATATTTAGTAATGAAAAGTTTATTTTTCTAAAAATCAATGATAAAATCATCGTTTATTCAATCGAATTGAGAATTCCTATTGCTTCTTTGGATATAGTTAATGGTAACATTTTAAAAAATTTTATTTATATTTAATTATTACTTATATTAAATCATTAGTATTTTTTATTTAGATATTCAACTATATAATTTTATGAATCATACTGGTTTATTTCTTTACCTCTTTTATTCTATTATACACCAGATAAAGGAATCCATAATTCCATCAAATATTGCTGGAACAATAAATACAAAAATAGGCTTAATCAAACTTTATTTGATAATCCAACTGATAAATCAAATGATGAACAAACAAAGTTTGTGTTTGGAATTCTAAATGGACGTGTTTGGAAAGCTAAATTTGAAAATTCTGATGAATTAAATAAAGGAAATAATAAAATTATTGAATGTAATGATGATGACAAGAAAACTTACAAACATTTAAATGTTCATTCATTTAATCTATATATGGATACTGTGTCTACATTATTTCAAAAAGTCACAACAGATGAATATAAAAAATCAACTGAATTAACTGGAAATTTAATTAAATGGGATGTACGTGTTGAAGGTGGCAAAATTAATCTGGCAGTTTCCACTGTTAATAAACATAATACTGAAGGGGAATCAATTAGCACGAGAACTGAAAATTATCCTTATAAAGCTAAATATTCCTTTTATAAACATGGATTAATTGCGAGCTCATTATTTAATAACAATGATATTGTTATATTGACAACATTTGGCATTCTTATTTACACTTTTAGTGAAAATAACGAATCTAGTGAAAATGTCTCTAGTGAAAATGTCGAATCTAGTGAAAATAACAAATCCATTTTTTTAAACTATTTTTATTTTATGGAATTCGATCCATTTGATTATATTCGTGAAAATGAAATATATATGGAAATATTTCAACATTACAAAAGAATATTTTCAAAATCCACTTTACCATTACCAAATTATGATAGTTTTAGATTAGATGGATGGGTTTCAGATGTAATAAATATTAAGTCAAGTCTTTTGAAATATGGAGTTGAATTATTAACATTTGCAATTAAAGAACATAAGTTAGAATTAATTGATGAAATATATAAAAAATGTATGGCTTATTTTAAAGAGGATTTAATGAATAACAAGTCATTTTTAAGCATTATCACTTCCACAATGCCATTACTAGATAAATATTATCCAGAATATATTCTAAGATATTCATCAGAAACGAATATGATCATAGATTCTTCTTCTTATAGTATAGAACATCAAAATAAAAATTTACATCTTTGTTCTTTTTTTTAAATATCCTCAAATAGCTAATTTATCTCAATCTCTTTTATGGACAAAATACCATCATAAATTTTATTCCGATGATGATGATGATGAATATAAAGATTTATTATATTATATTATAAATATTATTCAAGCTTTAATCATACTTTTAACTTTACCCCTATATTTTGTTACATTTTATATTTTATCAAAATATAATTTTATTAATAAGATTTACATTAGAGATGTATTTTCTGCTGTTTATTTCTATGCTGAATCTTTTATTCTTGAAATTTTAAAAAAAGTAAAAAAAGATATAACAACAACAACACCAACAATTACTTTTATGATTCCTTATATTAATTTTGTTAATTATTCAAAAGATTATAGTTGGTTTTTAGAATTAATTAGACCTCAACCTAGTCCATTTACTGAAACGATAAATAGAAATATCTATAAAACATGGAATGGAGAGGCATTAATTAATTTTAAATGGAATGCTTATGGAAAATATTATTATGCAATGATTTGGATTTTATTTATGACATTACTTGGATGCTTTACTGCTGCTGCAACTATTCCTCAGAAATATATCAATGAAGAAGTTATACAACAACTTTTTGTTGCTTCAATTATACTTGGATTTATTCATCTAATTTTTGAAATTCGTCAATTTTTTAATAATATTATTAAGTGGTTTTATAATTTTTGGAATATTTTTGGTAAATATAAATGTTTAATTTAATTATTTTACAATATCTTTATGTAAACGAAATTAATTATATAATATTTTAAATTGCAGATATAATTGCTTATGTGCTTTCAATTTACACTTCTATTTACTGGCTCAAAGCAAATGATAAGAACAATGATTATCTAATTACATTGCTTTCTTTTTCATGCTTATTTTTGGATATAAAATTTTTGTTATTTTTTAGAGCATTTGAATATTTTGGAGTATATTTTGCAATTATTATTAATGTTGGAAAAAAGATTTTTTCTTTTTTAATAGTTTTATTCATTATTATAATAAGTTTTGCACATGCATTTTATATTTTATTATCACCAAGATCCGAATTTTCACTTGAACAACCTACAAATGACGATGATCCAAATAATCCTTGGAGTTTAGCTCCTAGTTATAATCAAATAATTGATAATGATAGAAATATAAACTCCAATCCATCTATGATTCAAACACCTGATAAAAATACAAACATGTTTATAGATATTAGAACTTCTCTTTTTGCTATGTATTTATTTTTAGCAGGTATGTTTAAAATTTTCATAATTATATGAATTTTAATTTATGTAAATAATTTCTAATAATATTTTTAAACAATTCTTCTTTCCTATCAATAGGTGATTCAAGTGCATTATCCAATTGGGCATATATAGATAATCCATCAATTGCAATATTGATTGTTTTATTTTCCCTCTTAGTTGTTATATATCTTATGAACTTATTAATTGGATTACTCAATATGGAAATTGGAGAAGATAATAATAGAGTCTCATATTTGATACAGAAGGCAGAAGTAAATAATATTAATATTAATCATTTCATTTCTATAAATATACTAATATATCTCAATTTTTATATTTAAAGATTTTGGCCGAGATTGAGTTATTTTATCTATTACCACATCAGAGACGTTGGCAAACATGGTTTCCTGAAGTAATGTATGTATTTTTACTTTAAAAAAAATGTATTGTTATGACTTATTAATTAATCGAATTTATTTTTCAAGATATTATTATGCCGATGTTGATAAGACCCGAATAGAAATTAAAAGATCGATTGAAGTTGGTGAATGGGATACTAAGGAATTCACGGAGATGCGGAAAAATTTATTAAAATTACTTGAAATTAAACATAATCCTATTGACAATGAGGCAATAATGAAGAAATTAGAAAAATTAGAAGAATTAGAAAAATCTTATGATAAGAAATTAGAAAAATTGGACAAATTAGAGAAATTAGAGGAATTGTTGGAAGAAATACGTGCAAAATAATTTTATATTACATTAGTTAGTATTATAATTTGATCACTGGATAGTGTATTAGATGAACCAGTTTGTAATCAATTATAAGAAAATTAATAATAAATATATTTTATGTTTTCTCTTTAATCATATAAATTTCTAAATTATTCATTTTAATAAAAATATTGATAACTGATAATATTGAAAATTATACAATACAATAAATAATTACTAATCTTACTAATATGGTATGAAAATATGTAAAGAAAATGACGTGAAAAGCGTTAACACATTTAGTTAATATCTTTTTCAAATTAACTAGAATATTTTAAGATAATTTTACTACGCTTAATCGGCTTAAATATATACTATCTACAGATACAATATCACCGGCGGGTTCAAGAAAGCTATAAAAAAAAAAAATGTTCGTAATATTATTGAGACATATCTATGGTTTGATAATATTAAAATATGTTAAATTCTATAAAAAGTGAGATAATAGGATACAATAGTCAACAATTCAAATCAGAGCGATTTTGATTTGGCCAGAATTAACATAATTCCAGCCGAAATTAAAAATGCGTAAATTCAACCATTTTTTTTTACAATTATATAACCTTTTTCATTAATTTTGGATCACTAATTTTTTTTAAAAAAGAATTCACACCCTCTTTTGTTTTAATTAAATTGGATTATAGTAATACAGTAGAAAATAATAAAAATAGAGTTTGGATCCGTTATCCGGTAGGACTTTCAGTAAAATTGTAATTTATAATTACGAATATGTGTTTGAACCAAAAAATTTTGGAATAAATATTCTTTGCAGAATTGATGGTTTAGTCATGAAATTAATTTCAATTTTATGTATAGTAATAGGCTCGCTATACGCAAATTACATTTTGGATATCCGTTATCCGGATATCCGTCGGATATTAAATTCTAATTCCATTACTCCAACATTACGAAATGAATTTTTTAAACTTTTATCATTAAGGTTGATCATTGGCTTAATGACTACCCGCTAAACTATTTAAATCTTCAGATATTTATTTTTAAATCTGAATAATCATCCAATTTATTAATATCCGTTCAAACAACGGATCCAAACTCTAAATAAAAATGATTTGTTACTTTTAAAATTTAGTTCGTAAAACCTATATGAAGTATTATATGAAGTAATCTCTTGATCAGTCTATCATTTTATAGATCAATAAATGACTCCCAATGAAAAATTCGCACAAACATAAAAAAATTTCTGTCATTTAAAATATTAAATAATAAAAAAGTCTCAATTATATTAATTTTTATCGAGATAAAAAAAAAATCCTTGAAAATTAATACTAGATTAATTACGTCCATTTGATGCCATCGAAAAATTTTTTTATGGATTAAATAACTCCCAATAAGAAATTCTCAGATATTATTATTAACAAAAAAAAAATAATAATTTCAGTCATTTGAAAATAAAAAATTCTCAATTGTATTAATTTTTTATAAAAAAAAAAAAAAATTCTTTGATAATTGTCGTATTATTATTGGATTCGCCTGATGGTCATTTTTAGCGTTAAAAAAATTTTTATAGATCATATTAACTCCCATTAGATAAATTAATTATTATTAATTAATAAATATTTTAACAAATAATAATCATAAAAAAATTAAAGTTAGTTAAAATTAACTATTATTTATAAAAATGGGAGAGCTGTAAGGCCAAGTATTGAAATGTGCCGTACCGTACTGTACCGTACGAGAAGAAACGTATACAATCAGAACTTTCGTAAATATGATTTGTATATAGATTTCACATCGCAATTTTAGTGATTTTGTCAAACTAAACAGGGGAAAAGAGCTAATTTTAATAACCTAGCTCGAAGTCATTTATGTTTTCAAGACACATTTTTTTTACCTTTTGAACACTTCTATTAAAGAATACAAGTGAAAGAAGCTTAAGTTATTCAGCAGATATAGAAATAATAGCTTATTAATTTATGGGTCTAACCCGAGTGATTTATATAGAGTTACGTTTATTTAATAATCTTGAAAAATTAGGTCGCGTTTTTTATTAAAATTTTAGTGTTAACGTAACATTTATAATTGGGTTTTCAGTACTTATACTCAATAAATCTTTGTATTTTATCTTTTTTATAATTGTTGTATTAAAAAATTTTAAAATATTATAATTTTAGGCGATAGTTATTCGTACCTCTCACTTTTGTTATTCGTACCCCCCTGCAATAAAATCGTCATACGATTGGACATTTATTGTTTAATAAATTTTACTGCGTCATTCAGAAAAAAAATATTTTAGCAAAATGAAAAATTAAAAAATAACACAAATAAATTACTCCTATGAAAATTTATATCAAACATTGATTTTTATTTTTTTTTATTTTGTAAGTGGTAACATTTTTATAAGTGGATGCATCATTATTCTTTAAAAAGACAGGATATTATTCACTTTAATTCTTATTTAGTTGACAAGAACGAGAATTATGTCCAGGTTGATGGCAAACAGTACTCTTTGTTCCACCAACTCAAATCCAGAAGGATCTCTCCTGGTTGAATTAAAAGGGACAGTCAATTAGACTTGTGCCTTTATGTCTTTTACGTGTTCCTTCATGAGACCCAAAGAGTTATTGTAAACACCACCTCGATCACAACGTAAGGTAATGTTTTTTAGTTCACCATGACGATCCTTACGAGTTCTCTTTTTCACTAATGCATAACCTTGGAAATTTTACAAATGTTTGAGCATTATGATAAAGTTCATCTGCACTATTGTATATGGCAGGAGGTGGTGGGAACTGTGGAAGCATCTTAATAATTAAAGATAACAATTTTTTTAAAAAAAAAATTGTTAAGACAAAGCACAAAAAAAATCTAGATTTATTGTGGCTTGGTCTCTCAATAATTCATGAGATCATTACTTCGTACATTTTTTCCGAATGGCGCAGTAAAATTTATTAAACAATAAATGTCCAATCACATGACGATTTTATTGCAGGGGGTACGAATAACAAGGGTTTGAACCAATAATATTTGAGGAAATAGGGCTAGGTTATTATTATTTTGGATATATTTTACGTATATTGTATATCATCATTCAGTGATTACAATTATCGCAGCGTGATTTTTCTTTTTTTAACAGTGTTCTCGTTTATTATTCTTTTCCATAAAATTTAACGTAATAGCATAAATATCAGCCATTTATACAGAGAATTTATATGAAGACATAGACAATTATACGTAATACTAACCTAATAGTCAAATACGCTAATTACATCATTTTACGCCTATCTTTTTACTGTTTCTCCAAATATCTTCTTGTAGAAATTAACAATAGCAAAAAATATTAAAAGACAAACATGCAAGAAGCGAAACTTTTTGAATTGATAGATCGGCATCAACCCTAACATAATATTTCCGACCTAGTTTCTAGCCAGTCCGATTGTCTCATTCTTCGTATTGTTCTAAGAGTTATAAATGTTTAACCGTAATTAATAAATGGTATTATTTATCATAAGACAGTCATTAACATTTATATCTTCTATTAAGAAAGATGAAAAACTCATGAATTTGACTTTCATTCGTTATGTTATCGAAAATATTAATGGTTAACAAAAAAATTTTTTTTTTTGCGATTCATTTGTATCAAATGAATTCTTCTATGATGAAAGTGAAAGTCAATGAAAATCACCTGTGGTGTAACTATTTTTTAATTAATAACTGCTTATTTATTAAGTATAAAAATATTATAATAGGTACAACATATAACAATTACACACCTAGACCATGTACTGTATATAATTGGACGAACTTAACTATATCGAACCTACGGTATGAATTTCTCTATCAACGTACCATAATCCCTGGTACAATACAATAAGTCTAATTATCATTTAGCCACATGGGTTCATATTGAACATCCTATCCATTTATTTTATGCAGACATACAATAATCCATATATGATCATAAAAAAAATAAAACAATCACTTAAAATAAACTTATTTATACACTTATATAAACTTTTTAAACTTTTATATAATAAACTTTTTTTACTTTTATATAATAAACTTTTTTTAAACTTTTACATATAACTTTTTTTTAAAACTAATACATACACTTTTTTAACTCTCAATATGAACTAAAAAAAGCTAAACGCATGTGATATACTTTACAATAGGATAAAATGGCTGCGCCATTTTATCCTATTATCAAGTATACCCCATACAATAATATGTAAGTACAATTATCAAAATTTTTTACTTAATGAAACTATTTTTCTTTTATTTATTTATCCTTTTTTTTTTTTTAACTCAGGTCGATCATCATATTTTTTTTTTTATAATTTTACGATTCTTTTTTTTTCACTGTTAGTGTGGTGTGACAAAAATTCGGGGCTGTCATACGAGTCATAATGATCTATACCATATTGGGATAGTTTATCTTGCTTGTCATACAAACCATTATGCTTTAATTGTATCACATTAGTAACTTTCAAAAACCAAATATTAAGGGATTATGTTTATATTTTGTATCCAAAATCAGATCCGAACTTGGGATGACAAGATGTTTAGTTATATCTAATCTCAATCTGTACTATTAATGATTAAAATAAATTATAAATTTATTTATCCGCCCTTCGAATAATTTTTTTCCATATTTAAAAAAATTTTTATAATTATATACTTTTAATTTTTTTTTAAAAAAAATATTTTTTTTTCACCGTTATAAATAGGTATCGTCGTAGTTTTTTAAAATTAAAGTTATCAAAAACATTTAAGGAGTTAAAAGAATATGATTTTAAGTATCTTTATTATAAATATTTGTCAATTTTAAAATATATATAAAATAATAAATAATATGACTAATAATATGTTACGACGGTCGATCAGTCTATTGCATCATCGCAAATTAAAGTAATCCATTCACCCAATTTTTCATTATACGGTTTTATATATTGAAAAATTATTTAAAAATGGGTCCAATTTTATGGAGGAAATTTAAGAAAAAAAAAAACTTAATCGTATACATCTTAATTCTAAATGAACTACCGTCACGTCATAGAGAAGATAAAAAGTAGAAAATAAAAATAAATGAAAAATAAAAAAAAAATTAGGGATAATTCAAGAATTATCTATGATTATTCAAATAATTATTTAAATAACCATTTTGCTGACTTTGCTGGTTTTGCATGTTTAAATGATTTGGTATGAAAATCAACATAACCGTATATCCTGGTACTTCATGAGTAAAAGTCATTTGAGGTGAGGTAACGGGATGATGATGATTATGTTGTGGGCAACAGAACTGTTGATCAGGAATGACAGCGTAATTGTCATGTGTCGCTGTCGCATTAGGAGAACCAAAGTTATTTTGACTTTGCGGAATAATAGGAATTCCGTTATTTTGCTGTGACAAAATCTGCTGATTAGTCTCATTCTGACCAAACTGCTGGGCACTCGAAGGGTAGAATAGTGCGGAATTTTGGGAATTTTGGGGATTTTGAAGCGAATCGAGAATATTAATGGGTTGTTGAAAACAATTACCATTCTGAGGATAACCGCAGGAAAACCCTTCTCTAATATTATTAGAATTAGACATTGTTAGATCTTTCTAAGTTTGAATATTTAACAAGCCGGTGGTGATTCTTGGTGATATGCTGGATATCTGTTAGCTGCAGCGTTATTCATTTATTTTTTTACTAAAAAAACTATAAAGTATTAATAAAATAAATAATTAATATAATGAATAATCTTTTGATTTAATCGATAAAAAATTTAATAAATTTAAATACCAATAAAAGAACAATGACGATAAGGAAATTCGAAGTAAGAAATTTGTATAATCAAATTCTTACAGTATTTCTTTCTCGATTTTTCAACGTTCGATTTTTCAACGTTTCTCTTTTTTTTTTTCCTTTTGAACGGACGGTATTTATAAATTAAAATTTCATTGTTTGATTTCTGTTTAAAGCAAGCCATGTGGCTTATATGATCGTCAATAACTCCCATTTTGGTATAGTATAAATAAGTTATCAGATCGAAATTTCATTAGTAATTAGAATAGTACAAACCCGAAATTATTTATGTATAATAATCTTATTTGTATCATATTAAATATATATATGTATATAATTTACACTTATTTAAGGGTTTAACGAATCGGAATTAGAATTATGCTAATTACGCTCCACAACAAAATTACTATATATAGTAGATACCAAAAAAATCGAAACTGTAAAAAAAAGATTATCAGGTTGTGATACGAGATGATCCGGATCTGGTTACGGAATCATTATTATGATCGTACAACCAAATATATTATTATTCAAGTAGAATGATATCACCTCACATTATATTCTCGACAATAAGGGTAAAGACTTGAAAGAAAAAAAGGGTCATTTTAAAAAAACAATTAAAACTATTTGTTATATACGAGAATCCCAATATTTTGATTATAAATACGAAAATAAAAAATAAATATATTGCATTCTTGAGTTAATGTCTCACAAGGTCACAACATTTAAACAAATTATTTGTTGTTGATCTTTATTCTACTAAATATAGTAATTGATTTTAGTTTAAAAATTTCTTTTTCGATAAAAAACGATTTTTATGAAAGGAGGTTTCATTCTTTTTTTGGTTTAGTTCTGTTTATTGGCTCCATCCTTTTTATTTTTTTTAAAAAAATTGACTTCGTTAGTTCTATTGGTTCTATGAATTGGATGTTTTTTTTTATGAAAAATTGTTGGATAAATTACCTTTTTATTTAATATACTGTAAATAATATGATCCGGGAACAGAATCCCGTTATAATTCAATATCGACGACGTTCACTGTTCACAATCCTGAAAGATCATAACGATAATCCCGAAGATTCAAAGTCCTTAATTTACATATTTTTTTTTTTTTTTTTTTTTTTTTGGCTTAATAATTTTGTAATTCTTTGTAACAATTAATATTTTTATTAATATGTACTAATTTTCAAATGCTTCGTAAGAATTAATATTTTTATTGTAAAAATTAATATTTTATATTAAATACAAATAATAAAATATTTTTATTAAATATCAGATATGTAAAAGCCACTGCGTCACAATGTAGGGCAGATGACTTTCCGTTTACTTAGTAATCATGAAAAAAGTTTTTCAGTTTTGAAAATTATGAAAATGAAAAATTGGTTTTTTTTATCCAAGTTTAAAACTTTTGACTCATATTTCAAGTAGTTGATTCAAATTGTTCATATACCATATTTTAACATGGCGCAATGCAAAAAATCGTGGCAAAAATACGGTTACAATTTCATGGATTACTGCGGTTCGAAATGATTATTGACATCAAAATTTCCATTTTAACATTATTAATTCATAAGTGGCTCTGCCCTTCAAATAGTAAATTCTAACATAGCATAATGTAGAAGAACGTGTCAATAATATTCTTGTACGCCTCCTTCAATATAATATGATTATGGAGATTACATATATAAACGACTTGAAAAAAAAAAATTATTTTAATAACAAATTCACGAACGAAAAATTCTGGAATATGCAGTTAAAATATTTATTGTTAATTTTCATCTTTACTATTGTTTTAGCGAGTAAATAAATTATTTTTTAAAAAATTCATCTTTTTAATAATATCAATATTAGTTACTAATCGAATTATCGAATTCTTTTTAATAATATCATTGACGCAGTTGCAGAATCACAAAACTTTAAACGTGACGCGGATGCAGATGAACCACAAGAAGTATTTTAAACGCGATGTCGCCATGTCGGAGTTGACCCCTAGTGAGGTTTATTACGTTTAAATGTAAATAAAATGTTTTATAACATTTTCATGAATAAATTTTAATAAGAATTATATTAAATATTTTTAACTCAAATATACTTATACTATATTAAATAGGTCACGTGAATGTCACGAAAAAATTTTATTCGGTCATGTGATGCCGATTTTGTCCAATCATAGTCGTAGAAAACCAAATTTTCTTTCACCCGCAGAAAATTTATTAAAATTCTTTGTGATTGGATAAATTTTTTTAAAAGAATAATTTTTTTCCCTGGCGACAGGTCTGCTTTTGATATTTTTTTTCATGAGAAATTAATGATTTTTTTGCTTGGCTTAAGGGCTCATTATAAAATTTAACTTCAATCAAATAATCAATTAAATAAATTTATCTAAGATTATATATATATTATATATTATATATAGTATATGACATATTGCACTTTGACCCATAGTTGATTCAAATTGTTATTCAGTTCTTTTTATTATTACTTTTCTCACTACTCTCAACCCGCTTAAAAAATGGGGTCTTCTACAAATCACCAAGACAATTCCTCGAAGGGTACTTTGATCGAAACCAATCATACAAGATTGTCAAAGCCGTCATTGCAAAAGATGGGATCATGCGTTAAGATTTCCGTCTACATTATTTTAAAGAAAAAATGGGTTTGGGAAATTTCGGTAAATTCAAGAAAACGAAATATATAAATAAAATGTTTTTACAAATCAATTTTAATTTTAAAACGGCGACGACGACCGCGACGTGGCAAATACAACTTGTACACTTGTATACCTCCTCGTTAATAATACTAGTCCAAAAACCGAAATAATTATTGAAGATCTCGCATTTTCGTATTATTAATTTAAAGTGGCTCTGCTCTTCGATATTAAATTTTAAATGACGCAATGTAAAAAAACGTGGCAAAATTACTCTTGTACACCTCCTTTACTCCGCCCAATTTTATGGATTACTAATTATTGGCTTCAAAATCTCGCATTTTCATAAAGTTTTTCTGCTCTTCAATAGTAAATTTTAACATGGCACAATGTAGAAAAACGTGGCAATAATATTCTTGTACGCCTCCTTCTTTACTTTACCTTCATTAAATAATATAATAAATAAAATAATATAATTATGAAGTAATTTAATTTGAAAATAATGTCATCATAGAAAAATTTTCTTATATAAACACTTTGAGAAAAAAAAAAGAGAAAATATTTTTAAAACAAATTCACGAACAAAAAAATTTGGAATCATGCAATTAAAATATTTGTTGTTAATTTTCTTCTTTACAATTGTTTTAGCGAGTAAATAAAAAAAATTTTTTTTTTTTTACATTAAATGAAAATTTATCCTTTTTAATAATACCAATATTAGTTACTAATCGAATAATTTAATTCATCATTGACACAGATGCAGAACCACAAAACTTTAAACGTGATGCGTTAGCAGAACCACAAGAATATAAACGTGATGCGGTTGCAGAACCACAAAGCTTTAAACGTGATGCAGTTGCAGAACCACAAGAATTTAAACGTGATGCGGTTGCAGAACCACAAGGCTTCAACGCTGCAGTAATATAAAATTTCAGTTGATACAAGTTAAACAATTGAATTATAATTATACTATTTTTAAAATTATTTTATTATGATATAAAGTATTCCCTCACTTGATGTAAACAAAATATTTGTATTATTTCATAAATAAAATAAACTATTAGCTAATTCTTTTAATTTCAAATAAAAATTGTACTTCTGCCACCATTAAAAAAACTGTCTTTTTTTTGGATTTACTGTAAAATTTCAGTAAAAAGCATCCTCTTACTTGATGTAATCAATGAAACATTTGACATACACTACCCGGCAAAAAGTCAGTAGGCAACTGTAAATTTCAATAATCGTTACGAAAATATCCTTCTATATAAAGTTTAATTTTTTAATAATTAACCCGTCTTTTGTGTAATAAGTAAAGTTAATCATCTAGTTGAATTGTACTTGTTCTAAAAATTACATGAATTTTTGGAAAATTTGATTGAAATATTTTATGATTTATCAAATAAATCAGATTTTAAATGGAATTATTTGAGTATAACGTAATATTAAAAAATTTGTTTTACCATACTTCATTTTTTAAATAAAAATGTTTATCGAAACTTTTAGCATATTATTACGAAGTACTGTATCATCAAAATCAATGAAATGATCAACAAGTTATATTCATTTGACTGAATTTGCCGATCATTTATCGATCATTACCAAATTAACTACCAAAATTTTAGCATTAACTAATGAATTAAATTCGGCCCAATTTTTTTTATGAAAACTTGAGATTTTGATTATTATTTCTAACTTTTTTTATTGAAACCAGAACTCAAGCTCATAATTTGTTCTTTAGTTAATATCTTGTAAAAAAAACTAATAGGTGCAAGTCATCTTTGTTAAATATGTGTAACTTACAGACTATTTCGCTGATTTTGAAGATACTTGCTAAAAATTTTGATAAACAGTTTATTTAAAAATGAAGCGTAAATTAAGCAAAATTTTTTTAATGTTATATTATACCTAAATACTTGCCGTTAAAAATCTGATTTATTTAATAAATTATAGAATATTACAATAATCAATTTTTTTCAGAAGCTCGTGTAATTTTTAGAGTAGGTGCAATTCAACTCAATGATCAACTTCACTTATTACACAAAGGACAGGTTAATTATTAAAAAAAAAAACTTTATATAGAAGGATATTTTCGTAACGATTATTGAAATTTACGGTTGCCTACTGACTTTTTGCCGGGTAGTGTATATTTCACATTATTGATTTAAGTTTCTCATCTCGCAAGTATCAATTCTAATTTTATAATGGCGTAATGCGAAAATGTGACAAGATTACTCTTTTACACCTCTTTTACTTCGTTCATCTTCGTTAATAATATTACTACAATAACTGTGCATAAAATGGCTCAGCTCCTCAATTATAAATTTTAACATGGCGCAATATAAAAAAACGTGGCAAAATACCTTTTTACTTCGCCCTCGTTAATAATACTACAATTTTATGGGTACCGTGATCAAAATCTCGCATTTTCACTAAAGTGGCTTTGCTCTTCAATAATAATTTATAACACGGCGCAGTGTGGAAAAACTCATCTTCATTGAACAATAACCAGGATTGCCATATTTCATCCCCCACTTGTTTAATTAATTAAATAGATCATGACATTAAGATAAACTAATTATATATATACTTTTTTAATTTCATAGGCTGTTAAGAAGTAAATTGTTTAACCACTCCTAAATAGTACCAGATTAATTAAAAGGAGCATATTCCGTTTATGCTAAAGTAATAAGAGGACACGCTAGAATTGTATAGGTTTTAATGAATGTGTTATAATGAAGTAAGGTCGGACAAAATTAAAAATAATGCGATTTTATTTATATACTTTTATTTCACAGAGAAATATCAATAATGGCTACTTTTATTTATATAATAGTACCTAAATTGTATTGTATTAAAAACTTCTAAGTCGATTAATTGAGAGTCACAAATACAAACCATTAAAACAAAAAAAAAAAATTTCTTTATCCAAAATTTTTTTAAAATAAAACTTTTTAAAATAAAAAATACCCAACGATATTCATAATAGAATACTGTTGTTACATCATCACGACGTCATGTGCCGGACGGCGAATTACAGACTAATTATTATTTTGGACTAGAGGTCTGCATTGACCCCTATTTTTACAACCCGGCCTGGCCCGGACTATTATTATATCATTTTGTTGTAAAAACAAAAAAAATCGGCCAACTTAATTTTGGCCAGAATTACGAAAATCCGGGTTTAATGAAAAATCATGTGCTGGCCTGGACCCGGCCCGGGTGAATTTAGGAGAAATTTTGCCGGCCCAAACCCGGATCTGGGTCCGGGCCGGGTTAGGGTTTCTGGGTTCCGGGTCCCGTTTGCAGACCTCTATAATTTGGACTATTTTTTTTAAAATTACTACTGAATGTAACACTAATGCAGCTATCACATTTTTTCAATTATATTAGTATAATGATTTTTTACATCTGTATATTAAGTTTTATTTGTGAAAATATTCAATTTATACCCAATTTTATTGGAGAAAGTTCTAATAAAGATGCTTCTTAAAATTTTTTAAAAATTAAACTTTGTTTTTTTCTAACATTTGTGGAAAAATTAATTATTGACATGTTTAATGCAAATCAATGCATCGGAAAAAATACACCGAATAAAATTTTTTTCTTCTACTTTTGGTTAAAATATTCCTAGAGTAACTTGGACAAATTTTATAATGCCGGCCAGAATTACGCTATAATATTCCTTTTAGAAATTCATGTTACACAAACTCTTAAAAAGGAAAATTTTTATTTTAATTTTTTGTGGAATGGCTATCGATAAAAATGGAAATGATCATCTTTGTAATCCTCGGGATTATAAATTTGTCTGCAAAAACACACTCTATATACATGACATGTTGACATGCACAGTACAAAAAAAAATTGTTTAGAAGAAAATAATTTTTTTTTTTAGTAAAATAAATTTTTAAAATATCCAAATGGAAACTACTGATATAACTGATGCAGTAAGATGCAAAAATTGTTTATATTGTAATGAACCTTTTAATAAGGAATTATGGTGTAAAAGATGTATTAATTCTTTAGAAAAATTAGCAGAAAATGGTGATAAAAAAGCAATGTTTAATTTAGCCAATAGATATTATAATGGAGAGGAGACAGAACACAATTTAGAAAAAGCCTTTCATTGGTATCATAAAGTAGCAGAAAATGGTGATATTGGTACATGAATAATTTAGGCATACATTATGAAAATGGAGAAGAAAAAGAAAAGAATTTAGAAAAAGCCTTTCATTGGTATCAAAAAGCAGCAGAAAATGGTAATACTGATGCAATGAATAATTTAGCTATACTTTATAAAAATGGAGAAGGAACAGAAAAGAATTTAGAAAAAGCTTTTCATTGGTATCAAAATGCAGCAGAAAATGGTAAAGAAAATGCAATATTTAATTTAGCTGTATGTTATGAAAATGGAGAAGGAACAGAAAAGAATTTAGAAAAAGCCTTTCATTGGTATCAAAAAGTAGTAGAAAATGGTCATACTGGTGCAATGTTTAATTTAGCCAATGGGTATTATAATGGAGAAGGAACAGAAAAGAATTTAGAAAAAGCCTTTCATTGGTATCAAAAAGCAGCAGAAAATGGTGATAGTG